GTTTCACGAAAGAAAGAAACAGAACTACCAGCGGAATGATCCTCGCACGGCTATCGGAATTAAAGTCCAATTCCGGCTAATCTGAAAGGGAATCGGAAGAAAATCCAGCGTGCTAGATTCCGGCGATAAACGCTTCAAAGTAATATTCTCTCGGCGCGGGCGCGGAGCCACCTGACCCGAGGGCGCTTGATCGGCCTCTGCCCCGGTTATCGTCCTATCTACCATCGCGGTTAAACAATTCTCCACGACGATTTCTCGGACCTGAAGCCGAGCCGACGTACGTACCGAACCCCCCTTGGCTACCGAACGCCTTTTCACGTGGTCCTGCCAGGACAAGGTGTTCACGCGCTGAACCTATTAGTCGTCCGCTGCAGATTGGCCAGGGAAGATAACAGTAACGCCTCTCGCAAGACGGATCAGTGGATCGCGTGCCTTCTGGGACCGCGGCTTCGATTCCGTGTTCTCCTACCGCGAGAACTCCTGGCGTGTTCAGACGTTGCCGGTCGATACCTCTGACGGGACGTCGTCGTCGTCGTCGTCGTCGTGTGTCGTAGTCTTTCGTCGCTTCGCGTGTGTGTTACACTGGATGTTAGACAGAACCGTGATACGATCGAACGATATGGACGAAAACGAATTGGAAATATTGGGCAACCGAGAGAATTCCCGACGTATGTTACTCCTACCGCGGGAAATATTGGGAAGTCTTTCGGAAACAACTGAATTTATGTATCAGTATATATATTACAGTTTATACATCATCTTATTTTATGAGATAGTCGAGGAAGTTTTATAAAGAAGTGGAAATCTTCTCAAACGATGATGACAGAATAATTGTGCATACAATCAGTTATGCAGTTAAAATTTCGGTATTTTGGAGCTATTTCTATAATAAATTTCATTAAAAAATATCAGTACTCTTTGTAGATACAATTTCACAATTTCCTGACTTCTTTCTAATATTCCCACGCGAATTTGTCGTACTGTCTGCAGATCGTTTCTTTCCTTCAAATAACTCGTTTGAAACTTGTATTACTTTCATGACTCTGATAAAATCTGAACGATAATACCCGACGAAAGGAAGGAAAAAAGTGACGACAAAATATGTAATCTCTGTGTTCGTTGAGGGTACACGTACGTACAGAAAGAAACGCATCGAAGGAATGTGTGCTCGTGTAACTGCGGCAACGCGTTTAGGTGTTCGCAAGCAACGAACCACTTGGGGTGACGAGATATATTGTTCAAGAGGCGGCTGAAGGGTGTTCTCACTCCTGAGAACGTAGAAGCGTTGCCTTACTTCCAAGAGTTAGAGTCAGAGTTGGACTGGGGAATCGTAATTGTTACGAGGGGTAAAACTATTGAAACCGGACGATAACGTTAATGCAAACACGCGTAAAACGATTAGTTCGGGTTTGCGGTTCGTGCTTCCTACTCGATCGTCGTTATCTGAACTTGCCGATCGAATCGTGTAACGTTCTTGATCTATTCTCTCGATCATTAAACTGCGGATTTTTATGCAAATTCATTTCTTCTTGTTTTTTTTTTAGAATATAAGAAGAATGACTTTAGTAGGAAATTGTTTTACTGAAAAAAAGAAATTGTATTTTATCTTTCATTTAATATTGAAATTTTGATCAGAGATGGAAGTGTTAAATTTTATCGTAAGAAAGGAAAAAAAATACGAATTGAAAATGAAGAAAGTTTATTGTTTTCAATTTTTATTTTCCATTTAATTTACAGTAACTGAACACAAAACATGCATCTCGTAACTGTAGCTTTAGTATCAGTTTCGTTTTTAATTGAAATCGATATTTTTATTTTCGATCAGATTCATTAACGTACTTTCGTTCGTTTCAATAAATTGAACCCTCTCTCCATCTTCTTAGTGAAAATGTAAAATAGAAGCATTAATAAAATTTGGATTATCTCGAAAATATAAATAAAATAAAAAATCAATTTTTCTAAAGTAGAATTTGCGAAACACCACGTACATCGAAAAGTAAAATATTTGAGAAATAATAAATTGATTTAAGTTTGTCAATCTGTGACTAAATGAAGAATCACTCACAAATGAATGAGCTCATCTTTACAATTACATTTCGCACACTGCCTTCAAAACGAAAGTATCAAATTAACTAAAAATTCTTTCCACTTCCATTCGGATAAAATTCTTCTTCAATCACTCAAAAGAAAGATACCGTCGCTACTCCTTATTTTACATCGCGATATAATAAATTTGTTTTATTACGTCAATAAATGTTAATCCATCGTTCATTTTCTTGTCCAAACTTTCCACGATCGAATTCGTATAAATCCGCCCAACGCTTATTTGTACACGGCAATAACATAATAATCGAACATCGCGAGATTCGGCTGATAAATTGCCGAATATTATAATCAAAGGAGTCGGAATTCCTCCGGCTCCATAGGGAACGTGCACCGTACGAATCAATTATCCCGTTTCACAGAGAGCAACGATCCCCTAAATTCCTAATTGACAAACGTAACTCGCACGGCACGCGCGCGCACGACTCAACAGAGGCCGACCATTTGATTAGCCCGCGCCGAAGAACGCTTGCAAATAAATTCAGACGTACGAAACACGGCCTGTTCGCAGCCAGTAGATTTCGATAATGCTGTTGCGGCGTAATGGATACAGAGGAAAGTACACAACCACGTATAATTTCATGTATATCCCCTCGAGTGATTAATTCGAAGCATTGCCAGACCCGTGGCAAGTTTCATTCAATGGTACATACGTATAATAATAAGCATACGTTGTTCGTGGTTCCGGCTAGTTTGGCCATTTGTAAATTTCTTTCTTAATTGGTCAGTTAGTTTGGGCATTAGCGTTGTCGATTCGATCGCCAATTAAAATGAGGAACTTTGCTTTGCTGCGCTTCACAATTTTCAGCCTTCGTTCGTTTCTACGGAGGGAAGTTTATCGTTTTTCATTAAGATCTGGCCGCGGGTCAATCGTGGCGTTTCTCCTTTCTGCGACCAAGTTCGAATTTCGCTGGATGACGGAGCCCGTGCTCGAACGTATCTCATCTTTTATGGCTTCGGCGTTACGTATGGCCGTCATTAATACAGAGAACGCGAGGGAGAACGATAAATTGCCGGATAATTGATAATTCATACGATTAAAATCTTCTCTATTGTTTCAAGGGAGAAATAGCAGCGATCATTCATTCTGGTTTATCACCGAGAATCTTTGGTACCTGGAGATTACGTGGATCATTGATTTCAATGGCTGTGTGTAACTTTTAGGATGACTATTCAGTATTGAGGGATCGTTGCAATTTTTCTAGTGATGACATAGAATTGCGAATGTAACAATCAAATCTCAGTTCGGTAAGAAAATATTTTATTTTATTTTTCTTTATTACTTGATCACTTTTTACGTTTTATGAAAATTTCCAGATAACTGTATTTTCACATTTTTGAAATTACTCGATAATTACCCGCGATCGAATATTGAAATAATCGACGTTCCAATATTTCAATAATTTCATATATCCTGCATTTGAACGAAATTTAACTACTTACATACCTCGTTTAAAAAGTTACAATCTACTCATCTGCTTGTTAATTATAATTTCTTAAATTTGGATTTATCTATTTATGTTAATCATAGTGTCCCAAATTTGGATTTATGGATATAATTCGTAGCTGTAGGATTTTTCTCGGGTCTGTGAAGATCTTTAATATTCTTTAAAAAACATTTGAGTCTGAATAATAGCAATCTATTATCTTAAATTCACATTCGCATTCCTTTATTTGAATTTTGTGGTTCTGTGAATGAAATGGGAGTTGCATTCACTCGGAGAAACGAAAGTGGCACACACAGACGTATAATCATAAATTATATTTGTACCCTATGACTAGATTTCTAAGGAAACCTATGCAATACGTAGAAGGGAAAGTAGAACTAAGTAAGACACGTCTATAAACGATATCAAGAAATAAGTGTCAATTGTCTACAACCAATTCAATTTCGTTGCGAAGATACCGACATTCCAAAGAAGGAATTTATGCTAATGTTAATCCTGAAATGATGTCCTGAAATTCTAAATATAATAACCACAACAGTTCGAGTTACGTAGATTCGCGAAAGTATTCCAATACATATAGATACATTACGTGAAATTGCTGTGATTTTTACGAGTAGATTGCAAACTCATAGTTTTACAAATATACTTTCAAAAGAATTGTTTGTAAGAGAAAACATTTGTTTCATTTACGTAAATATCGTGCCGAGTAAATGCATGAAATGCTGTATGAAATGCATAAACAAATAATGATTGTATTAATAAAATTTTCAAATATGTATATTTCGTGGAGACTGTTAAAGTACTCAAACGGAATTTAAATAACCGTTATTCTAGATACATTTTAACATTATTTCTATGTAGATAGTTATTGATTAATTTTGAAATTTATTTCATAGTCGACTAAAAATGAATTAATGAAACGTTGCCAAAAGTGGATCTTATTTTGAATAAATTCTGACGTATTTATAATCAATTGATTACTATAAACCTAAGCAATATCGATTTCTTATGAAAACAAAGAGGTGTCCTAATATTCTAATCTAAGCAAATAGTTAGCTTGATTACGTGCACGTGTTAATTCTATCGGAGAAATTCAACGAATAATTAATTTAAGTGTCTAAATAGCAGGCAATTTGCGCAATACGCTGCCAATTAAGCTTTAAAGACTAGCATAAACGGCCGTCGTATTATTGATAAGCATCGCTACTCTAATCGCCGCTAATTCAT